GCGCCGTGGAAACGGCCGCGAGATCTGGCGCCCAAGCTGCGGGCCCCAATATTATACACCACCATCAGGCGGCCATGGGCAAAGGAGAAACCCAGCGCGCGAACGCCCTGACAGGGGCGCCACTGCCTGTCCCCGCCAGGCGCAGGGACTTGCCGCGCGGTCACGCGCGCAGATGGCGGCCGCATTTGGTCGCGAATAATTGCGCACAAACACCCATGGCAGCGCGGTGGTGGCGCAGGAAAACGACGGGCCCCCCGGGGATCTTCTGCATCACCCCGGAATATACACCGCGTGTTTGTTTTTTCTCCCGCGTGGAACCGCGCGCCCAAACGGCGCAGCGCGCGCGACGCGTCATTGCCGAGAGATCCGACGCACCCTGCAACCCGCCGCCGAAAGCATCACCCGATCAAACCCCACTTATATCTATATATAATAAAACAAAAAAAAAAAAACGCGGCGGCGATGCACACGCGCGGGCCTCAGACAAACGCAGAACAGCAGCGAGAGAGAGAGAGAGAGAGAGAGAGGGAGAGAGAGAAGCAGACAACAAAAAGCTCGCGAACGGCCCACTCTTCCCAGCGCGGGGCCGATTTGCGAAGGGGGCCAAGCTGCGCTGGCATGGCGGACGTTGGCGCGGCCTTTCGAGCCGCCCCCCGATCGCCGTGCTCGACCTTCCGAGAATGCTTCCCAGGCTTCAGAACCGCGCCCAAATATCCCGCGCCCCCGACAATCTTCTGGCGAGCCCACACAGTGTCCGCATATGGGAGCCACTGGAAACATCTGTTGCGAGAGGCATCGGGGCGCGGTTCCTCGATGGGGGCGACGCTGCCTATCTCGGCATCCAGGGAAAGGCCCGCCAGGGATTCCACAGCGCGACTTCCCCAACCTCCAGGAGCTGCGGGCCCGCGCGGGGCGCGCGGCACGGGGGCGCGCCGAGGTCCACCAGTGACGCGGGGCCCATGGCACGCCGAACCTGGCGGCCCCCGAGGATTTGGACGCCGCGAGGGGGGTCAAAGCGCAGCAAGGGAAACCCGTCGTGGCCAGGGGCAATCGTGGGAAACATGAAGGAAACCGCCTGCACGACAAAGGCGCCCGGGCACGCGACCTCCTCGAAGTCCGTCGGAACCCCGAAGATGCCCGCGGCGTGCCGGGTGAAGCTGGCGCGGGCTGGAAGGGCGGCATCAACGGGGCCCCGGCGCCCCCGGGCGCTCCTGATCAGCCCCGAGACTGGCCCCAGAGCCGAGTCTCCATTGGAGGGCGAGGGCGGCGACTGACCGAGCCTGCTTCAGAACCTTCCTTTCTGAGACCTTCGCCGAGCGCCCCATCCTCGACCCGGACTGCCCCTGGCGCCCCGCAGCGCGGCCTCCCTGGGCCTCGCGGAACCCGGCTAACGTCGCCAGGGAGGATCTGCGCGCTTGGATGCCAGCGACGATGGGGTCATGAGCATTTAAGCGTTGCGCATCAAGTTGCGCCAGCCAGTTCCAATGCTAATACATGGCCCGAGACCGAGTTCAGGAGGGCGCCGCGCTTGGGGTACCGCATCTGCGCGCCTCTCGGTCGCGGGCAAGGACAGCGGCCCCCCTGGCGGCGCGCCTGCGCTCTGCCCTGGCCGCGCATGTGGGGGGGCTCGAAATCTGTCCGGCGGCTGCGGGAAGATGCCGTGGATACGAGGTGTCCGGGGCCAGCCGAGGGGCCAGAAGACAAACTCTCCTCGGGAGGGGGGCGCGGCGGCCAGGCCCACGAGGGGCAGCGGCGGAGTCGAGAGGCCGAACCTCCAGCACCCGAAAGAACAGTAAAGGAAGGTGCGATAACGGGGTGGAGCGCGCATCATGTGGGCGAATCGGGGGGGGGGCTTGAGCCGCGACGCTGCGCCGCCCCATTCCCACCCCTCCCTCTTCGCGCAGCTCGCCCACGCAGCGTCGGAGATCAGCCGAAGAACCAGGAGACATATTCCCCGGGGAGAGGCGAGGGAGCCACGCTCGCGACGGGCAGCGGTGGAGTCGAGAGGCCGCGCCTCCAGCACCCGGACCCGCCTGGCGAATTGGACGCAGGCCGCACACCATACAATTCGTTGAATCTGATTTGTCGGTTGCCCAGTACGACGTCGACCATGGCCTTTTAGAATAGCGCGGGGCGGACACCTGCAACTGCAATCCAATAAAAACCACAGGGCGATCTTCCAGTAGGCCCGATCTGAAGCCTGAGGTCATTATAGCACATGTTCCCATGAAGATGGCATCACCCCGCGTGCGTGCGTCGGCCGGCGTTCCACATGTCAATGCAAATCCGTGCGTTCCACCGGGCTCCGACGCGGCGCATCGCAGCTGTGTGCAGCACGCGAAACGCCGCACATAAGTCTGCACATGCGCGGCCCCTGCCGCGTCGTGGAGGCCCCTGGGATAGGCCTCGGGGGCATTATGATGAAAAGCGGCGCGAAGGACCTCAGTGGAGATGCCCGCGCGAGGGCGGAAACGCTCAGACTTGGCAAGCCTGGGGGGGGGGTCGAGAATACGCCGCCTATCTCTGATACCCGGGCGTCGAGCGATAGACAAGGTGGCGCACGGGGCCCAACCATGTAGCTTCGACGACGCCCCCATCGAATCCCCCCCTCTACCACAGACTGAAAAACACGGCAAGGACCAAGGATGGCCCTGGAGGGCGCGGTTCCGGATGTCCACGCTGAGGGCCGCGAACCCCCCGGAATTTCACAGAGCGCCTGGCACCGCCACCCCCCAGCAAAAAAACTCCGAAAGATGGCTCGCAGTCTGCAGGTAGCCTTCTCTGAGCTCTCGAGAAGGCGTCGGAGACGCCGTTGCGCGCACTGACCGCGGCCCACCCTGGGCGGGGCGCTGGTGTCTGGGCCGCCAAGCGCGTTGGAGCCCAGCCGTCGACTGCTTCGCGCTGGACTCGAAACGGGCGCCCTCAGCTGGCCGGGTCGACTTCCGAGCCCGACCCTGCGTCCACCGACGAAGTCCAGGAGCGCGATCTGCCCGGTGTCGAAGACAGACGGGCCGATCTGGCCGATGGCCCCCAGCAACTCGGTCTCCTTTCCGCATCTCTTCAGCGAGGCCGCGGCTGTCCATCCGCCGCGTCGCATGACCTGCTCTGGCGTCCGATGGCGGGGGGCGCGATCCTCAGAGACACCTCCGCGTCGTAGCTGGCATGGGCGAGGGTCGAATGGCCCCGGGCCCAAACCCTCTGCCGCGGCGATGATGACCACCTCGCGCAGCTCGCCGCCGAAGCCCCACAGGCACCCGTCGGGGCTGCTCGCCTGCCTCGGGCCGAGGAGGGGGTCGGTCCCACAACCGCTGGTCGTTGATCGCGATGGCGTCGTCGAAAGCCCCCCGTCTTCCCTGGATGCCGATGGGAGGTCTCGCGCAGCAACGAACACGTCATGGCGTCGCCAGCACCGGCCACAGGCGCCGTCGCGACGACGCTCTTGCCGGCGAGCGCCGTCACCTGGATAGGGCGAAGACAACAAGCATGAGAGACCGCCACCACGATGGCCATCTGCAGGAGCAGCGGGAGTCGCCACTGAGCCAGCCTCCGCCTGCCCCAGCTGACCGCGCGCCAGCTCGCCCTCGGAAAAAGGAGAGAAGGAGACGAGTCTTCCTGTGCAGCTCGGGAAACACGCAACCCAAGGCCGCGATCAAGCGACTGGCCCCGTCGGCGCCGTGGCCTCACATGCACGGGGAGTTGAGGCGGTCAACCACCGCCGCGCCCAGCTCGGCCGCGCCCGCCCAAGTCCCAGGTCGCGCGCGCCTTCTGGCCACACAGGGGACGTGAGCCAGCGTCCGCGGATACAGCTGCGCGGCCCTGGGCTCCACGACGATCTTCTCCAGCGCGCTCGCCCACGGGGGCGCCGAGGCGTTGCGGCGGCGTCCTGGGCTCGAGTGGCCCGTTCTTTCATCAGCCTCCTGGTCTTGGCGCTGACTCGTTGTGAAAGGGCGGCCGCCGCCGCGGACCTGCCCATTGGCGCGTCCAGGAGGAGGCCCGCGCTAGTGGAGAAGAACAGTGGTCGCGTCCTCTCGGTGGACTTCCAGCCAAGAGGGACCTGCGAAGAATCCGAACTGACCCCGGAGCCCCTTGTCGGCAGGGTTCCGTTCTGATAAAGGCCCATCTCACGTAGAATCGGGCCCCTGCCGCAAGTGATGGCGCCGCGACACGTCGGAGAGGGCGCAGGATGTGGCAGCGAGCACGGCCCTTGACCGACCCAAGACAGAGGGGTAGATTGTCCACGATGGCCAGGATCCACGAGCCCCGGGCGGGCCCAGAAAGCAGGATGCGCCGGTGCCCAGGGCCAAGGCGCCCCCCTCGAGCTCGAGAACATGCGATCGATGTCTCCCTCTGGTGGCGACGACAGTCTTCCAGTTCATTCTGTCCAGACAAACTGTGCCAATCTCACCGAAAGGAACCGCTAAGTCCTCAATGTTGTGTACCTTCGGCGTTTCGTCCGACATCGCATCCACAACACCCGCGCCCCACTCTGTTGCCGCCCCCCACGACCCCCCAAGCACCGTCGTCGCCGCCGTCGAAGCCGGCGTCAGTAGCGAGCGCGGCAGGATGCCCGCGAGCGCAGCGGCGGACGCTTCAAAGTGGCAGTAGGCACCTGATCGCCCGGAGCTCTCTCCGCACAGCAGGCCAGATCTCCGCGATCGTCGGACCGTTCTTTGGGCGGCGAAGGCATGGCTGGTATCGGGATTGGTATGTCGCCACTAGTAGTCGCATACATGCTGCGATTGTCACGGATATATGCGTTGGCATTGCTACAGGTATTGCTGCTTCTGTGGCGTCTGCATCGTCTTTGGTATGGACGTTTGAATCGTTGTCGCCATTGCAGTTGCTGCTGCAAGACATACTGATCTATGTAGTGCTAGCGGTCGTGCCATTGATAGTCGCCATGCTACAAATACTTGCATTGCGACGTGCATCGGTATTTGTGTTGCTAGTGTGTGTTCTACTGTGTGCTACTGGTATTGCTACTGCGTTTGGTAATGTTTGTGAGGTTGCCTCATGCTTTAGACTCTCGGCTCGACGCGCCATCGTTGCGATCAAATGCAAAACGCGCCAGCGCGCCTCCTCCCCAACAACCATATCATAAGAATGCTCCATTTGAGACGTCCGCGAACCTGTGGCCATTTTCACACGCATGTACTTCAAAGGTGATTATCCTATATTCATGGAGCGCGCGTCGCAAGCAACTAAAGAGTTATCGCATCCCAGCTGGAGGTCATCATGCACTAGACATGGAGCGTGCGTCGCAAGCAACTGCAAATCCAGAATTACTGCTTGCGAGCCGCACAGGACGAGGAAGAGACGAAGACGCGCAACAGAGGGAGGGAGAAATAAAAAATGGACCCGATGCTCCGTGAATCTGGCTGGCGCGACAGGCACCAGCGGGAAAAAGAGCACGAGCGCAAGCGGAGACAAAACCATGAGTGTGGAAGCGTCGGCTCCCGCAGCGTCTTGGCGCAGGGCACCCTCGCGCCCACACATCCTCGAGAGCGACGCTGTGAAGAGCTCCCCCCATATCGACTCCTCCGCGTGCCGACACGTCGGAGGAGGAGCCAGCCGCTCTCTGGGAGAGGCCAGGGCCAAGAGCACCGCACCTCGACCGCCCACGCTGCCGAGGACAGCTGCTCTCTGGCGTCGGCCACGCGATCGCCTTGGCGCCGCGCTCAAACGAGCACCGTCCGCCTCGCCTCCGCGTCCGCCTCGACCTCCGCCTGCGTGGGCTCGGAGGCTGCCGCCGGCTCCGAGGCGGGCTCGTCGGGCTCCCACGCCTCCTCCACGAGGCGGCGACCGGGCTCGCACAGTCTCCAGCCGCGCCGCGTGACGCTGGAGTCGGAGGACCACAGGATGCTGGACGACGGGGTGAACCCATGCGGACGGCGGCGCCTTCCGCTGAAGGTCTTCCAGCCGTCGACCAGGAGGTAGTCGAAGTACCACTCCACGTTGAAGTACTCCACGATGATGGGTGCTGCACTCGCCGCGTTGATCTCGATCGTGCACTGCTGGTTGTTGCTGTAGTACTGCGGATAGTTCGGGCTCTGGACACATGCGCCGTCTTGCACACACGGGCCCGAAATGGCCCCCCACATGCTCCCGGAGCCGGGCGCAGCCGTCGGTGCAGGCGTCGGTGCTGCAGTCGGAGGGGGTGCAGGTGTTGACACCGGCATACAGAATTTCCAGCCACTCCTCGTGACGCTGAAGTCGGACGACCACATGATACTGGATGTCGGGGTGACCCCAGAGGGACCTGAAGATCCAGTATACCTTGCTCCTCCGTCGACAACTAGGTAGTCGAAGTACGACTCAACGTCAAAACTTTCGACGACGATCGGTGCTGCGTTCGACGCGTCGATCGTGACCGTGCACTTCTGGTTGTTGCCGTATGGTTGCGGATAGTTCGCGCTCTGCACGCATGAGCCGTCGAGCGTGCACGGGCCAGAAATGGCGGCCCACATGTGCGCAGAACTGGGCGTCGGTGCAGCGGTCGGCGAATGAGTCGGCGGAAGGGTCGGCGCAGCTGTTGGTGCAGCCGTTGGGGAAGCGGTCGGTGCTGCTGTCGGTGCCGCGGTCGGGGAAGCGGTCGGTGCTTCCGTCGGTGCGGCAGTCGGCGGCGCTGCTGTCGGGGATGCGGTCGGTGCAGGCGTCGGTGCTGCAGTCGGAGGGGGTGCAGGTGTTGACACCGGCATGCAGAATCTCCATCCACTCCTCGTGACGCTGAAGTCGGACGACCACAGCACGCTCTCCGCCGGGGTGACCCCAGAGGGACCTGAAGATCCAGTATACCTTGCTCCTCCGTCGACAACTAGGTAGTCGAAGTACGACTCAACGTCAAAACTTTCGACGACGATCGGTGCTGCGTTCGACGCGTCGATCGTGATCGTGCACTTCTGGTTGTTGCCGTATGGCTGCGGATAATTCTCGCTCTGCACACATGCGCCGTCGAGCGTGCACTCGCCGACAATGTCCGCCCACATGTGGCTAGGAGAAGGCGTTGGAGGAGGTGCTGGAGTTGATGGGGTCGGGGCCCCGGTCACCCCCATCAACTCGTCGATCCAATCCCGCACGTAGCTAACCCGAGACCATATTCCAGGGTACCGTTGATCTGCACACCCATAGCCCCACGACGTGGCTCCGTGCAAGACGTAGGATGCGCCGCCAGAGGCACAAACGAGCGGTCCACCGCTGTCCCCCTGGCAGGCGTCGGTAACGTCCCCGTCGCTGTTGACGCCCTGCGCGCACAGCATGTCAGCGGTAATCTGCGATTGGCCATAGGCCGCGCTGCAGTCTGAGTTGCTGATGATGCTCACCTGCGCCTCCTGCATCAAGTCAGGAGACGACCCTCCAGAGGAAAGGGTCCCCCACCCAGTGATGAAGCACTCCTCACCGTCATCGACAGCCTCAGTTGGCAAGCATGCTACCCCAATACATTCGTTCAAGGACGCATCACCGACCAATTCTACTAGGGCAAAGTCGTACCGCATTGTCGAGCTGTCATAGTCTGGATGCGAAAACACTTGTTTTACCTGCAATGTCTCCTGACCCGAGTCCGTCGACGATTTGCTATAGCTGCCAGCTACGATGGAGAAGCTATAGCTACCCACGCAGTGAGCAGCTGTCAGGACCCAGTTCGGGGCGATGAGTGTTCCTCCACAGAAGTGCCCCCAGGAGGCCGCGAGGGACACTTGCCACTTCCACTCGCACGGCGTGGTGGCCTGCCCTGCAACAATGCGCTGACCGCGTTGCGTCTCCCAAGGAGTGTTGTCCGGACCCTTTTCGCCGCACAGCGGCGCTGGCGACGGTGGCGGCGAAGTCGGCGCCACCGTTGGTGCTGCAGTCGGCGCAACTGTCGGTGCTGCTGTTGGGGAAGCGGTCGGCGCCTCCGTTGGTGCAGCAGTCGGTGCAACTGTCGGTGCTGCTGTTGGGGAAGCGGTCGGCGCTACCGTTGGTGCTGCAGTCGGCGCAGTTGTCGGTGCTGCTGTTGGCGCAGCTGTCGGTGCTGCTGCTGGGGAAGCGGTCGGTGCCTCTGTGGGTACTGCAGTGGGCACACCCGGCGCAACAGTCGGCGCATCCGACGGTGCAATTGTCGGTGCCGCTGTTGGGGAAGCGGTCGGTGAAAACGTTGGCGCAACGGTCGGTGATGCTGTTGGGGAAGCGGTCGGTGCTTCTGTCGGTGCTACAGTCGGCACACTTGTGGGTGCTGATGATGGGGATGCGGTCGGCGCCATCGTTGGTGCCGCAGTAGGCGCAACTGTCGGTGCTGCTGTTGGGAGTGCGGTCGGTGTTGCTGTCGGCGTAGCCGTCGGTGCGGGCGATGGCGTCGGGGGCACCGTCCAATCTCCCATCAACCCAGCCATCCAATCGCTTGCATAGGTGACCCTGCTCCAAACTCCGGGGAAATTCTGCACGCCGCATGAAGCAGCTCCCCACGACACAACGCCGTGAAGGAAGTAGCTGCCGCCTGAAGCGCAGACAATCGGCCCTCCGCTGTCCCCCTGACATATGTCGGTTACCAACCCACCGTTGGAGCCCTGTGCGCAAAGCATGTCATCGGTGATCGTCATCCCTGACTGGCCCCATTGAGCCTGGCAATCTGTGTTGGTCCATGTTGTCACCCCACCCTCCTGCAGCAAGTCAGGGACGCTCCCTCCGTCGACCTTTCCCCACCCAGTGGCGAAGCACTCTTCACCGGCACCGATGTCCTCCGTCGGCAAGCACGCAAGGCCGATGCAGTCGTTCAAGGGCGCCGCATCGGCCAACTCCAAGAGGACGTAATCGTAGCCCTGGTCCCAGTTGACGTAGTTTGGGTGGGTGTGCACGTGCTGCACCTCCAGTCGCACTCCCACCGTGTCCGATTGGGACTGGCTGTGAAGGCCTGCGACGACCCAGAACGAAGAACGAGGGAAGCAGTGGGCGGCCGTCAAGACCCAGTTCGGTGCGATGAGCGTCCCTCCACAGAAGTGCCCGCTGGAGCTCTGGAGGGAGACCTGCCACGGCCACTCGCAGCTCGTGGCCTCCTGTCCCCCGTAGACGCGCTGGCTGCCCCACGCCCAGGGGGTGTCGTCCGTGCCCTTCGCGCCACAGGTCGATGCCGCGCCGAGCTGCGCCAGTGCTGCGCAGACGACTGCCGCGGAAGCAGCTCTCATGGTGCCCTCAGGTGTGAGCTGTCGGCGATAACTATATCGGCGTGACCTTTCCTGGAGCTGACCTGAGCAAGTGCGGCACAGTTCAAAGAGCTGCCTGAGCCCGACCGGCAAAGGATTGGTATCGCTCGTGATCTCAAGACTGCGACTGCTACTGCCATTGTCAGAGTGAGGGGGGCCGAACGGTCATTCACTGTCCCTGGGTTCGTGGCTGAAGTGGGGATCCACGGCGAGGATTCTGCTTGTGTTGTTGCGTCGTCTCCCCCGCGACCCAGCCCGCGACCCACCCGCGACCCCACCCGCGACCCACCCCGCGACCTGGCCCGCGACCCACCCGCGACCCACCCCGCGACCTGGCCCGCGACCCACCCGCGACCCACCCGCGACCCACCCCGCGACCCACCTGCAAACCCACCCGCGACCCACCCACATTGTTTAAAAAATCGGCGCCTGCGGCGGGCACGTTGTACAGCATGAAAAATTATGCGCCTGCGGCGGGCTTCTTCAGAGCCTCGCAGACTGCCCACGTCCCAGCATCACTCTTATCCGCAACTGCGGGGTGCTACGTTATTACCATTGCTGGTGCCATCGTCATCGCTATTGATATGGACCTTCATATTTGCATGGTTGTAGATTGTGAGAAGCCCTAGGGAATTGATACTCTTGATCTTACCGTTGTCATGGGTATTGGTACTGCTATTAGTAGCGATCGTGTTATTACTAGCGGTCGTGATCGTACTCATGATCTTGCTACGGTGTTGTTAGTGCTATCGGCACTTCTGAAATAAAATGACGCTCGTGTGATATTGGTTTTGGCACACTGGTCGTACGACCGCGTGTAGCCTCTTGAGAATTGGTGTAAGTATTGCTCTGGTACTGGCGTTGCCGCAGATAGTGTTGTCGATGTTGCTACTCGGCAATGCACCTGGTATTGTCATTACGTTTGGTAGCACTCGTGGTATTGCTATATAGGTATGGCAACTGGGACCTGGTGCTCTTGCTACTGATACAGATACTGTTCCCCAATCAGAGCTTTCCTCTGTAGGGGTCCTAGCGGATTTAAGGGTAGGTGAGGTTTGCCGCCGATTCGGTGGCCGGGCCCGGGTGCCCGGGTGCCCGGGTGCCTGGGTGCCCGGGTTCGCCGCCGATTCGGTGGCCGGGCCCGGGTGCCCGGGTGCCCAGGTGCCCGGGTGCCCGGGTGCCCGGGTTCGCCGCCGATTCGTCGGTGGCCGGGCCCGGGTGCCCGGATGCCCGGGTGCCCGGGTACCCGGGTGACGGGTGCATGCCCGGTGCCCGGGTGGGTGCCCGGGTGCCCGGGTGCCCGGGTGCCCGGTGCCCTGTAGCCCTATAGCCTTATAGCCCTATATCCCTATCGCCCTACAGCCCTATAGCCCTATAGCCCTATAACCCATATAGCCATATAGCCCATATAGCGCCCAAGAGCCCACATAGCCCTGTAGCCCTATAGCCCTACAGCCCTAAAAAGATTGTGATTGGGTTTTTTCTCTGGTATCATTAGTCCTAAGGATCCTGCCGTTGCGAGGGTCAGTGGTGCTGGTATCGCTACAGACCTTGCTCAGGACGCTGAACTTGACGGATTCCCTCTTACTGATTGTACTCTTGCTTTGGGGATGGCCGTTGCTGTCGCGGACGCCGTGGTTGCTGCTCCGGTACTCCTCTATGCCTACCCTCTCCTCTTCCCCCGCCCCTTTCTCCCCTGCATCCCCCCCCTTGGTGGAAACGACGGACAATGGGGAGGGGGTAGGAACGGTGGGGAGGACGCAGATGGAGGAAGCGGAGAAACAAAGGGGGAATGTTTCAAGAAAGATGCGGTCACGCCACATCTAGCATCCCGCCTCTCCCGCTCATGCCTCATCCTTGGGCCGAATCCCTTACTACCTGCCGAGTCGGGTGTCGAAGCGAACGTGGGCACCTAGATGATGCATACACTCCCTGGCTTTAGACTAGCCTCCCAGGACCTCAGACGTCGTGATTGCTGCTCGCAATCTGAGCTATTCTAGTTTTTGCGGCCTTTACTGGGATCGATTTCTCGTCGCAGGTAGCGGCCTGATGTCTGCGAACGTCCAGAAACAGCTCCAGATGCCCAAACGGTTTGGGATCAGCCCCTTGGTGATTCTCGACACGCCTGGGAATCTGGGCCGCCCCTTCCAGCCCCGCAGAGAAAAGATAACGAACTGCCCGGCCTGACGCAGCTGCGCGCAGCGCAGGGCTTTGCCCTCTCTGACGATGCGCCGCGCAACGGCATGCCTAAAATTTCGGGACCGTGGACCACGATCCGCGCGAGGACTGTGCGGAAATGAACCAGGGGGGGGGGGACGTCATGTGAAAGCTTCGCTGCGGCCGTGGACCTCTCGGGGCACGATGCGCGCGAGGGATGCGCCGAACCGGGCGGGGTGGGCGGCCTGTAAGCGCCCTTGCCGGGGTCGCGGGTGGAGATCCCTACGGGGGCACGAAGTGCGTGAGGGGTGTGCCGAAGTGGGCGGGGGGCGGCATGTGAAGGCCCTCGCTGGGGCGACAGGTGGAGGTAGATCCCTCTGGGTGCACGAAGCGCGCGGGGGGATGTGCCGGAAGGGCCGAGGGGGGGCGACCTGGGGCCGCAGGTCCGTGGGTGGGAGTCCCTTTCCTACTCCCCCTCCTCCTCCTCCTCCTCCTCCTCCTCCTCCTCCTCCTCCACTTCCTCCTTGTGCTCCTCCTCCTCCTCCTCCTCCTCCTCCTCCTCCTTCTCCTCCTCCTCCTCGCGACATGCTTGAACGCGTCGACGTTGCCACCAGGGCGCCCTCAAGGGGGCCACAAGTGGAGCTCCCTAGGGGGCACGGCACGCACAGGGGGCGTGCCGCAACGGGCGGGGCAGGCGGCACGTCAGCGCCCTCGCTGGGGCCGCCGGTGGCGCACCCTACGGGGGCAGGAAGCGTATGAGAGGCAACGGGGATGAAGGGAGGAGGGAGAGAGGCGTGCGAGGCCAGGTCGTGCCAGGATTGGCGAGGGCCGAGAGAGGAGGGGGAAGCGGGAAGGAGGAGGGAGGAGGAACGGGGCGAACGCGCGGCACTGCAGATTGCGAGCGAGGACCAAGCGACATGGTTGGGGAAGAGCTGGGTCTGTTCTGGTGGGTTTTCCATCCTGCGTCGATTCGTCTGGCGATATTGAGGCCTGGACTGGGCTTCCAGAAGCCGAAGTTGGGATTATCCTTCCGGCGCGATGTTGCCCACCCTCGATAGAAGAGAACCGGCCCTGGACCTCTATGTTTTGCTTCAGACATCGCTGTTGCTATTGCTGTAACCTCTGCACCCGATCTTTCAGTTGGCTGTTCTGCACATGTGATCATAGATTGATGATGGCACTGCACTTGCCCCTGTACGCTCTGCACATAAGTCCAAATAGCACACGCGCAAGGAGTCACATGTCGAGCAGCGCCTATGCAGGAATAGGATTAGAGAGAAAGGCGGCCGCCGCTGCGAGCGGATTCGATGTCTCCACTGCCGTCTTAAGGCAGGGATGACAGTGTGTTTGGGCCGCCTTAGAGAGCTCGACGTCTTCTCTGAGACGCTTCAGGCTGTGATGCGCTTGTGGCGATGACACTGTGGCGTCGAAATCGGCGAAATTATGTGGAAACATGAATGCCGCCGCCGCAACCTGCGCGGAGCGATTCGACCCCATGAGACCCAAGCGCCCAGGGATCGACAGAGAGGCCGAGAGCGGTGGGTCAAAGCCGCGGCACGCTAGGCCCCGCAGAGTAGCACATCAGACAAGGCGGCACATCATTGCGCCCATAAGCGAAGACGCAAAGAGTGGTCTGCGATTCCTTCGCGCGGTCTCGGGCGAGCCGTCCAACGCGCGCTTTCAGAGCAGCAACCTGCCAGGCTGCAGGCCAAGAGACGCGAGCAAGGATCGCCCAGGGCGGGGCCCAGGCGAGGACTCCAATGACAATGGCCCGGGGCAGCGAAACCCAGAATGCACGACGCCTGTCCAACGCTCGCGGCGGGACATCGCGGCACCGCTGCACTGCGGGAGAAATAACGCGCGCAAGCCTGCGCGGGGTCGGCGGAGAACGCCCACGGGGAGCCCCCGTGCACGGCGAGCCCCCCCCCGCAGAACCCGGCCACAGAAAAGCAGCCGAAAAGAAGCTGGAAAAGAGAACGGCGCGATGGGAAGACGGCGGGAATTGACCGCCGGCCCCGAGCCCCAGCAACTCGGCGAGAGCGGCCGGCGGGGCAACCCAAGGAGCGCCGCGCTCTCCGAGGCCGCCTCGCACGAAAACCCGGGAAGCCCCTTCCCGCGATGAGTCGCGTCGGAAAGAGCACGCACGTGACCGGCCGCGCACGTCGCGAGCGCGCCGCGGAAACGGCCGCGAGACCTGGCGCCCAAACTGCGGGCCCCAATATATACACCACCATCAGGCGGCCATAGGCAAGGGAGAAACCCAGCGCGCGACCGCCCTGACAGGGGCGCCACTGCCTGCCCCCGCCAGGCGCAGGGACTTGCCGCGCGGTCACGCGCGCAGATGGCGGCCGCATTTGGTCGCGAATAATCGCGCACAAACACCCATGGCAGCGCGGTGGTGGCGCAAGAAAACGATGGACCCCCCGGGGATCTTCTGCACCACCCCGGAATATACACCGCGTGATTGTTTTTTTTTGCGCGTGGAACCGCGTGCCCAAACGGCGCAGCGCGCGCGACGCGTCATTGCCGAGAGATCCGACGCACCCTGCAACCCGCCGCCGAAGGCATCATCCGATCAAACCCCACTTACAAAAAAAACAGCCCGCGGCGGCGATGCACACGCGCGGGCCTCACACAAACGCAGAACAGCAGCGAGAGAAAGAGAGAGAGAGAGAGAGGGAGAGAGAAAGCACAACACAACAAAAAGCTCGCGAACGGCCCACTCTTCCCAGCGCGGGGCCGATTTGCGAAGGGGGCCAAGCTGCATGACGCAGGAGAGGCACGTGAAGGTGCCAGTGTTTAAATGCACTGGCATGGCGGACGTTGGCGCGGCCTTTCGAGCCGCCTCCCGATCGCCGTGCTCGACCTTTCAAGAATGCTTCCCAGGCTTCAGAACCGCGCCCAAATATCCCGCGCCCCCGACAATCTTCTGGCGAGCCCACACAGTGTCCGCATATGGGAGCCACTGGAAACATCTGTTGCGAGAGGCATCGGGGCGCGGTTCCTAGATGGGGGCGACGCTGCCTATCTCGGCATCCAAGGAGAGGCCCGCCAAGAATTCCACAGCGCGACTTCCCCAACCACCAGGAGCTGCGGGCCCGCGCGGGGCGCGCGGCACGGGGGCGCGCCGAGGTCCACCAGTGACGCGGGGCCCATGGCAAGCCGAACCTGGCGGCCCCCGAGGATTTGGACGCCGCGAGGGGGGTCAAAGCGCAGCAAGGGAAACCCGTCGTGGCCAGGGGCAATCGCGGGAAACATGAAGAAAACCGCCTGCACGACAAAGGCGCCCGGGCACGCGACCTCCTCGAAGTCCGTCGGAACCCCGAAGATGCCCGCGGCGTGCCGGGTGAAGCTGGCGCGGGCTGGAAGGGCGGCATCAACGGGGCCCTGGCGCCCCCGGGCGCTCCTGATCAGCCCCGAGACTGGCCCCAGAGCCGAGTCTCCATTGGAGGGCGAGGGCGGCGACTGACCGAGCCTGCTTCAGAACCTTCCTTTCTGAGACCTTCGCCGAGCGCCCCATCCTCGACCCGGACTGCCCCTGGCGCCCCGCAGCGCGGCCTCCCTGGGCCTCGCGGAACCCGGCTAACGTCGCCAGGGAGGATCTGCGCGCTTGGATGCCAGCGACGATGGGGCCATGAGCATTTAAGCGTTGCGCATCAAGTTGCGCCAGCCAGTTCCAATGCTAATACATGGCCCGAGACCGAGTTCAGGAGGGCGCCGCGCTTGGGGTACCGCATCTGCGCGCCTCTCGGTCGCGGGCAAGGACAGCGGCCCCCCTGGCGGCGCGCCTGCGCTCTGCCCTGGCCGCGCACGTGGGGGGATTCGAAATCTGTCCGGCGGCTGCGGGAAGATGCCGTGGATACGAAGTGTCTGGGGCCAGCCGAGGGGCCAGAAGACAAACTCTCCTCGGGAGGGGGGCGCGGCAGCCAGGCCCACGAGGGGCAGCGGCGGAGTCGAGAGGCCGAACCTCCAGCACCCGAAAGAACAGGTTAGGAATTAAAGGAAGATGCGATAACGGGGTGGAGCACGCATCATGTGGGCGAATCGGGGGGGAGCTTGAGCCGCGACGCTGCGCCGCCCCATTCCCACCCCTCCCTCTTCGCGCAGCTCGCCCACGCAGCGTCGGAGATCAGCCGAGGAAACAGGAGACATATTCCCCGGGGAGAGGCGAGGGAGCCACGCTCGCGACGGGCAGCGGTGGGGTCGAGAGGCCGCGCCTCCAGCACCCGGACCCGCCTGGCGAATTGGACGCAGGCCGCACACCATACAATTCGTTGAATCTGATTTGTCTGTTGCCCAGTACGACGTCGACCATGGCCGTTTAGAATAGCGCGGGGCGGACACCTGCAACTGCAATCCAATAAAAACCACAGGGCGATCTTCCAGTAGGCCCGATCTGAAGCCTGAGGTCTTTATAGCACATGTTCCCATGAAGATGGCATCACCCCGCGTGCGTGCGTCGGCCGGCGTTCCACATGTCAATGCAAATCCATGCGTTCCACCGGGCTCCGACGCGGCGCATCGCAGCTGTGTGCAGCACGCGAGACGTCGCACATAAGTCTGCACATGCGCGGCCCCTGCCGCGTCGTGGAGGCCCCTGGGATAGGCCTCGGGGGCGTTATGATGAAAAGCGGCGCGAAGGACCTCAGTGGAGATGCCCGCGCGAGGGCGGAAACGCTCAGACTTGGCAAGCTTGGGGGGGGGGTCGGGAATACGCCGCCTATCTCTGATACCCGGGCGTCGAGCGATAGACAAGGTGGCGCACGGGGCCCAACCATGTAGCTTCGACGACGCCCCCATCGAAGCCCCCCCCCTACCACAGACTGAAAAACACGGCAAGGACCAAGGATGGCCCTGGAGGGCGCGGTTCCGGATGTCCACGCTGAGGGCCGCGAACCCCCTGGATTTCACAGAGCGCCTGGCACCGCCACCCCCAAGCAAAAAAACTCCGAAAGATGGCTCGCAGTCTGCAGGTAGCCTTCTCTGAGCTCTCGAGAAGGCGTCGGAGACGCCGTTGCGCGCACTGACCGCGGCCCACCCTGGGCGGGGCGCTGGTGTCTGGGCCGCCAGGCGCGTTGGAGCCCAGCCGTCGACTGCTTCGCGCTGGACTCGAAACGGGCGCCCTCAGCTGGCCGGGTCGACTTCCGAGCCCGACCCTGCGTCCACCGACGAAGTCCAGGAGCGCGATCTGCCCGGTGTCGAAGACAGACGGGCCGATCTGGCCGATGGCCCCCAGCAACTCGGTCTCCTTTCCGCATCTCTTCAGCGTGGCCGCGGCTGTCCATCCGCCGCGTCGCATGACCTGCTCTGGCGTCCGATGGCGGGGGGCGCGATCCTCAGAGACACCTACGCGTCGTAGCTGGCATGGGCGAGGGTCGAATAGCCCCGGGCCCAAACCCTCTGCCGCGGCGATGATGACCACCTCGCGCAGCTCGCCGCCGAAGCCCCACAGGCACCCGTCGGGGCTGCTCGCCTGCCTCGGGCCGAGGAGGGGGTCGGTCCCACAACCGCTGGTCGTTGATCGCGATGGCGTCGTCGAAAGCTCCCCGTCTTCCATGGACGCCGATGGGAGGTCTCGCGCAGCAGCGAACACGTCATGGCGTCGCCAGCACCGGCCACAGGCGCCGTCGCGACGACGCTTTTGCTGGCGAGCGCCGTCGCCTGGAGAGGGCGGAGACAATGCCACAAGCATGAGAGACCGCCACCACGATGGCCATCTGCGGGAGCAATGGGAGTCGCCACTGAGCCAGCCTCCGCCTGCTCCGGCTGACCGCACGCCAGCTCGCCCTCGGAAGAGGGAGAGAAGGAGACGAGTCTTCCTGTGCAGCTCGGGAAACACGTAGCCCAAGGCCGCGATCAAGCGACTGGCCCCGTCGGCGCCGTGGCCTCACATGCACGGGAAGTTGAGGCGGTCAACCACCACCGCGCCCAGCTCGGCCGCGCCCGCCCAAGTCCCAGGTCGCGCGCGCCGTCTGGCCGCACAGGGGACGTGAGCCAGCGTCCGCGGATACAGCTGCGCGGCCCTGGGCTCGACGACGATCTTCTCCAGCGCGCTCGCCCACGGGGGCGCCGAGGCGTTGCGGCGGCGTCCTGGGCTCGAGTGGCCCGTTCCTTCATAAGCCTCCTGGTCTTGGCGCTGACTCGTTGTGAAAGGGCGGCCGCCGCCGCGGACCTGCCCATTGGCGCGTCCAGGAAGAGGTGCGCGCTAGTGGAGAAGAACAGTGGTCGCGTCCTCTCGGTAGACTTCCTGCCAAGAGGGACCTGCGAAGAATCCGAACTGACCCCGGAGCCCCTTGTCGGCAGGGTTCCGTTCTGATAAAGGCCCATCTCACGTAGAGTCGGGCCCCTGCCGCAAGCGATGGCGCCGCGACACGTCGGAGAGGGCGCAGGATGTGGCAGCGAGCACGGCCCTTGACCGACCCAAGACAGAGGGGTAGATTGTCCACAATGGCCAGGATCCACGAGCCCCGGGCGGGCCCAGAAAGCAGGATGCGCCGGTGCCCAGGGCCAAGGCGCCCCCCTCGAGCTCGAGAACATGCGATCGATGTCTCCCTCTGGTCGCGACGACAGTCTTCCAGTTCATTCTGTCCAGACAAACTGTGCCAATCTCACCGAAAGTAACCGCTAAGTCCTCAATGTTGTGTACCTTCGGCGTTTCGTCCGACATCGCATCCACAACACCCGCGCCCCATTCTGTTGCCACCCCCCACGACCCCCCAAGCACCGTCGTCGCCGCCGTCGAAGCCGGCGTCAGTAGCGAGCGCGGCAGGATGCCCGCGAGCGCACCGGCGGACGCTTCAAAGTGGCAGTAGGCACCTGATCGCCTGGAGCTCTCTCCGCACAACAGGCCAGATCTCCGCGATCGTCGGACCGTTCTGGCGGCGAAGGCATGGCTGGTATCGGGATTGGTATATCGCCACTAGTAGTCGCATACATGTTGCGATTGTCTACAGGCATTGCTGCTTCTGTGGCGTCTGCATCGTCTTTGGTATGGTCGTTTGAATCGTTGTTGTCATTGTAGTTGCTGCTGCAAGACATACTGATCTATGTAGTGCTAGCGGTCGTGCCATTGATAGTCGCCATGCTACAAATACTTGCATTGCGACGTGCATCGGTATTTGTGTTGCTAGTGTGTGTTCTACTGTGTGCTACTGGTATTGCTACTGCGTTTGGTAATGTTTGTGAGGTTGCCTCATGCTTTAGACTCTCGGTTCGACGCGCCATCGTTGCGATGAAATGCAAAACGCGCCAGCGCGCCTCCTCCCCAACAACCATATCATAAGAATGCTCCATTTGAGACGTCCGCGAACCTGTGGCCATTTTCACACGCATGTACTTCAAAGGTGATTATCCTATATTCATGGAGCGCGCGTCGCAAGCAACTAAAGAGTTATCGCATCCCAGCTGGAGGTCATCATGCACTAGACATGGAGCGTGCGTCGCAAGCAACTGCAAATCCAGAATTACTGCTTGCGAGCCGCACAGGACGAGGAAGAGACGAAGACGCGCAACAGAGGGAGGGAGAAGTAAAAAATGGACCCGATGCTCCGTGAATCTGGCTGGCGCGACAGGCACCAGCGGGAAAAAGAGCACGAGCGCAAGCGGAGTCAAAACCATGAGTGTGGAAGCCTCGGCTCCCGCAGCATCTTGGCGCAGGGCACCCTCGCGCCCACACATCCTCGAGAGCGACGCTGTGAAGAGCTCCCCCCATATCGACTCCTCCGCGTGCCGACACGTCGGAGGAGGAGCCAGCCGCTCTCTGGGAGAGGCCAGGGCCAAGAGCACCGCACCTCGACCGCCCACGCTGCCGAGGACAGCTGCTCTCTGGCGTCGGCCACGCGATCGCCTTGGCGCCGCGCTCAAACGAGCACCGTCCGCCTCGCCTCCGCGTCCGCCTCGACCTCCGCCTGCGTGGGCTCGGAGGCTGCCGCCGGCTCCGAGGCGGGCTCGTCGGGCTCCCACGCCTCCTCCACGAGGCGGCGACCGGGCTCGCACAGTCTCCAGCCGCGCCGCGTGACGCTGGAGTCGGAGGACCACAGGATGCTGGACGACGGGGTGAACCCATGCGGACGGCGGCGCCTTCCGCTGAAGGTCTTCCAGCCGTCGACCAGGAGGTAGTCGAAGTACCACTCCACGTTGAAGTACTCCACGATGATGGGTGCTGCACTCGCCGCGTTGATCTCGATCGTGCACTGCTGGTTGTTGCTGTAGTACTGCGGATAGTTCGGGCTCTGGACACATGCGCCGTCTTGCACACACGGGCCCGAAATGGCCCCCCACATGCTCCCGGAGCCGGGCGCAGCCGTCGGTGCAGGCGTCGGTGCTGCAGTCGGAGGGGGTGCAGGTGTTGACACCGGCATACAGAATTTCCAGCCACTCCTCGTGACGCTGAAGTCGGACGACCACATGATACTGGATGTCGGGGTGACCCCAGAGGGACCTGAAGATCCAGTATACCTTGCTCCTCCGTCGACAACTAGGTAGTCGAAGTACGACTCAACGTCAAAACTTTCGACGACGATCGGTGCTGCGTTCGACGCGTCGATCGTGACCGTACACTTCTGGTTGTTGCCGTATGGTTGCGGATAGTTCGCGCTCTGCACGCATGAGCCGTCGAGCGTGCACGGGCCAGAAATGGCGGCCCACATGTGCGCAGAACTGGGCGTCGGTGCAGCGGTCGGCGAATGAGTCGGCGGAAGGGTCGGCGCAGCTGTTGGTGCAGCCGTTGGGGAAGCGGTCGGTGCTGCTGTCGGTGCCGCGGTCGGGGAAGCGGTCGGTGCTTCCGTCGGTGCGGCAGTCGGCGGCGCTGCTGTCGGGGATGCGGTCGGTGCAGGCGTCGGTGCTGCAGTCGGAGGGGGTGCAGGTGTTGACACCGGCATGCAGAATCTCCATCCACTCCTCGTGACGCTGAAGTCGGACGACCACAGCACGCTCTCCGCCGGGGTGACCCCAGAGGGACCTGAAGATCCAGTATACCTTGCTCCTCCGTCGACAACTAGGTAGTCGAAGTACGACTCAACGTCAAAACTTTCGACGACGATCGGTGCTGCGTTCGACGCGTCGATCGTGATCGTGCACTTCTGGTTGTTGCCGTATGGCTGCGGATAATTCTCGCTCTGCACACATGCGCCGTCGAGCGTGCACTCGCCGACAATGTCCGCCCACATGTGGCTAGGAGAAGGCGTTGGAGGAGGTGCTGGAGTTGATGGGGTCGGGGCCCCGGTCACCCCCATCAACTCGTCGATCCAATCCCGCACGTAGCTAACCCGAGACCATATTCCAGGGTACCGTTGATCTGCACACCCATAGCCCCACGACGTGGCTCCGTGCAAGACGTAGGATGCGCCGCCAGAGGCACAAACGAGCGGTCCACCGCTGTCCCCCTGGCAGGCGTCGGTAACGTCCCCGTCGCTGTTGACGCCCTGCGCGCACAGCATGTCGGCGGTAATCTGCGATTGGCCATAGGCCGCGCTGCAGTCTGAGTTGCTGATGATGCTCACCTGCGCCTCCTGCATCAAGTCAGGAGACGACCCTCCAGAGGAAAGGGTCCCCCACCCAGTGATGAAGCACTCCTCACCGTCATCGACAGCCTCAGTTGGCAAGCATGCTACCCCAATACATTCGTTCAAGGACGCATCACCGACCAACTCTACTAGGGCAAAGTCGTACCGCATTGTCGAGCTGTCATAGTCTGGATGCGAAAACACTTGTTTTACCTGCAATGTCTCCTGACCCGAGTCCGTCGACGATTTGCTATAGCTGCCAGCTACGATGGAGAAGCTATAGCTACCCACGCAGTGAGCAGCTGTCAGGACCCAGTTCGGGGCGATGAGTGTTCCTCCACAGAAGTGCCCCCAGGAGGCCGCGAGGGACACTTGCCACTTCCACTCGCACGGCGTGGTGGCCTGCCCTGCAACAATGCGCTGACCGCGTTGCGTCTCCCAAGGAGTGTTGTCCGGACCCTTTTCGCCGCACAGCGGCGCTGGCGACGGTGGCGGCGAAGTCGGCGCCACCGTTGGTGCTGCAGTCGGCGCAACTGTCGGTGCTGCTGTTGGGGAAGCGGTCGGCGCCTCCGTTGGTGCAGCAGTCGGTGCAACTGTCGGTGCTGCTGTTGGGGAAGCGGTCGGCGCTACCGTTGGTGCTGCAGTCGGCGCAGTTGTCGGTGCTGCTGTTGGCGCAGCTGTCGGTGCTGCTGCTGGGGAAGCGGTCGGTGCTTCTGTGGGTACTGCAGTGGGCACACCCGGCGCAACAGTCGGCGCATCCGACGGTGCAACTGTCGGTGCCGCTGTTGGGGAAGCGGTCGGTGATAACGTTGGCGCAGCGGTCGGTGCTGCTGTTGGGGAAGCAGTCGGTGCTTCTGTCGGTGCTACAGTCGGCACACTTGTGGGTGCTGATGATGGGGATGCGGTCGGCGCCATCGTTGGTGCCGCAGTAGGCGCAACTGTCGGTGCTGCTGTTGGGAGTGCGGTCGGTGTTGCTGTCGGCGTAGCCGTCGGTGCGGGCGATGGCGTCGGGGGCACCGTCCAATCTCCCATCAACCCAGCCATCCAATCGCTTGCATAGGTGACCCTGCTCCAAACTCCGGGGAAATTCTGCACGCCGCATGAAGCAGCTCCCCACGACACAACGCCGTGAAGGAAGTAGCTGCCGCCTGAAGCGCAGACAATCGGCCCTCCGCTGTCCCCCTGACATATGTCGGTTACCAACCCACCGTTGGAGCCCTGTGCGCAAAGCATGTCATCGGTGATCGTCATCCCTGACTGGCCCCATTGAGCCTGGCAATCTGTGTTGGTCCATGTTGTCACCCCACCCTCCTGCAGCAAGTCAGGGACGCTCCCTCCGTCGACCTTTCCCCACCCAGTGGCGAAGCACTCTTCACCGGCACCGATGTCCTCCGTCGGCAAGCACGCAAGGCCGATGCAGTCGTTCAAGGGCGCCGCATCGGCCAACTCCAAGAGGACGTAATCGTAGCCCTGGTCCCAGTTGACGTAGTTTGGGTGAGTGTGCACGTGCTGCACCTCCAGTCGCACTCCCACCGTGTCCGATTGGGACTGGCTGTGAAGGCCTGCGACGACCCAGAACGAAGAACGAGGGAAGCAGTGGGCGGCCGTCAAGACCCAGTTCGGTGCGATGAGCGTCCCTCCACAGAAGTGCCCGCTGGAGCTCTGGAGGGAGACCTGCCACGGCCACTCGCAGCTCGTGGCCTCCTGTCCCCCGTAGACGCGCTGGCTGCCCCACGCCCAGGGGGTGTCGTCCGTGCCCTTCGCGCCACAGGTCGATGCCGCGCCGAGCTGCGCCAGTGCTGCGCAGACGACTGCCGCGGAAGCAGCTCTCATGGTGCCCTCAGGTGTGAGCTGCTGGCGATAACTATATCGGCGTGACCTTTCCTGGAGCTGACCTGAGCAAGTGCGGCACAGTTCAAAGAGCTGCCTGAGCCCGACCGGCAAAGGATTAATATCGCTCGTGATCTCAAGACTGCGACTGCTACTGCCATTGTCAGAGTGAGGGGGCCGCCGAACGGTCATTCACTGTCCCTGGGTGCGTGGCTGAAGTGGGGATCCACGGCGAGGATTCTGCTTGTGTTGTTGCGTCGTCTCCCCCGCGACCCAGCCCGCGACCCACCCGCGACCCCACCCGCGACCCACCCCGCGACCTGGCCCGCGACCCACCCGCGACCCCCCGCTCGCGACCCACCCGCGACCCACCCGCGACCCACCCGCGACCCACCCGCGACCTGGCCCGCGACCCCACCCGCGACCCACCGTCGACCCACCCGCGACCCACCTGCGACCCCACCCGCGACCCACCCACATTATTTTAACAAAATAATCGGCGCCTGCGGCGGGCTCGTTATATAGCATGAAAAATTATGCGCCTGCGGCGGGCTTCTTCAGAGCCTCGCAGACTGCCGAAGTCCTGGCATCACTCTTATCCGCAACAACGGGGTGCTACGTTATTACCATTGCTGGTGTCATCGTCATCGCTATTGATATGGACCTTCAAATTTGCATGGTTGTAGATTGTGAGAAGCCCTAGGGAATTCTTACTCTTGATCTTACCGTTGTCATGGGTATTGGTACTGCTATGGGTAGCGATCGTGTTATTACTAGCGGTCGTGCTCGTACTCATGATCTTGCTACGGTGTTGTTAGTGCTATCGGTACTGCTTAGATATAAGTACGCTCGTAAGATGTTGGTTTTGGCACACTGGTCGTACGACCGCGTGTAGCCTCTTGGGAATTGCTGTACTTATTGCTCTGGTACTGGCGTTGCCGCAGATATTGTTGTCGATGTTGTTACTCGGCAATACACCTGGTATTGTCATTACGTTTGGTGGCACTCGTGGTATTGCTATATCGGTATGGCAACTGGAACCTGGTGCTCTTGCTACTGATACAGATACTGTTAGTCCTAAGGATCCTGCCGTTGCGAGGGTCAGTGGTGTTGGTATCCCTACAGACCTTGCTCAGGACGTTGAACTTGACGGATTCCTTCTTACTGATTGTACTCTTGCTTTGGGGATGGCCGTTGCTGTCGCGGACGCCGTGGTTGCTGCTCCGGTGATCCTCTATGCCTACCCTCTCCTCTTCCCCCGCCCCTTTCTCCCCTGCATCCCCCCCTGGTGGAAACGACGGACAATGCGGAGGGGGTAGGAACGGTGGGGAGGACGCAAATGGAGGAAGCGGAGAAAAAAAGGGGACTGTTTCAAGAAAGATGCGGCCACACCACATCTAGCATCCCACCTCTCCCGCTCATGCCTCATCCTTGGGCCGAATCCCTTACTACCTGCCGAGTCGGGTGTCGAAGCGAACGTTGGCACCTAGATGATACATACACTCCCTGGTTTTAGGCTAGCCTCCCAGGACCTCAGACGTCATGATTGCTGCTCGCAATCTGAGCCATTCTAGTTCCCCACATGTTTCGTAGGGTTCTGGTTTTCTTCACTGCCGCGCCGCACCCGCGTCTCACCTCCTCCTCCTCCTCTTTCCTCTTGCTCCCTCACCCACAGCACAGCACAGCACAGTTCCCCACAGCATGTGGGGTTCTTCCCCACATGTTTCGTAGGGTTATGGTTTTTCCCCACATGTTTCGTGGGGTTCTGGTTTTCTTCTCTGCCGCGTCGCACCCGCGTCTCCTCACACACACCTCCCCTCCCCCCACACACACAGCACAGCACAGCTCAGCACAGCTCAGCACAGCTCAGCTCAGCATAGCACAGCTCACACCAGAGAGGGTGCGCAGGGGGTGGTCCCTCAGCGCGGTCTCTGTGCGCGCCAGGGTCGAAGAGCGTGGCAGGGGTGGCATTTTCCCGACACCAGAAAGCGTGCACAGGGGCGTGGGGTCCCTCAGCGCGGTCTCTTATGCGCGCCAGGGTCGGAGAGCGTGGCAGGGGTGGCACTTTCCCGACCACCAGAGGGGGGTGCGCAGCAGGGTGAGGTCCCTCAGCGCGGTCTCTATTGCGCCGGCCAGGTCGGAGAGCGTGGCAGGTGTGGCACTTTCTCGACACCAGAGAGGGTTGCGCCAGGGGGTGGTCCCTCAGCGCGGTCCTTCTGCGTCGTTGCCAGGGTCGGAGAGCGTGGCAGGGTGTCACTTTGGCCGACACCAGAGAGGGTGCACAGGGGGTGGTCCCTCAGCGCGGTCTCTATGCGCGCCAGGGTCGGAAGTTAACGCGTGGCAGGGGTGCACTTTCTCGACACAGAGAGGGTGCGCGGTGGGGTGGCCTTTCTGCGGTCTCTGATGCGCGGCCAGGGTCTCGGAGAGCGTGGCCGGGGTGGGGCACTTTCCCGACACCAGAGAGGGTGCACAGGGGGTGGTCCCTCAGCGCGGTCTCTATGCGCGCCAGGGTCGGGGAGCGCGGCAGGGGTGGCACTTTCTCGACACCAGAGAGGGTGCGCAGGGGGTGGTCCCTCAGCGCGGTCTCTATGCGCGCCAGGGTCGGAGAGCGTGGCAGGGGTGGCACTTTGCCGACACCAGAGAGGGTGCACAGGGGGTGGTCCCTCAGCGCGATCTCTATGCGCGCCAGGGTCGGAGAGCGTGGCAGGGGTGACACTTTCCCGACACCAGAGAGGGTGCGCAGGGGGTGGTCCCTCAGCGCGGTCTCTATGCGTGCCAGGGTCGGAGAGCGCGGCAGGGGTGGCACTTTCTCGACACCAGAGAGGGTGCGCAGGGGTGGTCCCTCAGCGCGGTCTCTATGCGTCCAAGGGTACGGCGACGAGTACGACGAGTACGACGACGAGTACGACGACGATTCGCGACGAGGGTTTAGAACGCAGGATTGCGCATAGATGATAACGACAAGCAAACACATAATAATAAAAATCAGTTTGTGGGGTTCCTCGGTAGCGTAATCCCACCAGCCCTTTGGGCGTGAGTGGTTTAGGGAGCTCTCTCTGTCCTCAACCCCCCTTCTTCCCCTTCGGGGAGGGGTTTACCCCTCCCCCTACCCCCTCCCCCTGGACCTGGAGAGGGAGTTCCGCGGGTCGTCAGGGGGGTCTTTTTCGACGTCTGGGAGGGCCAAAAAACGACGACCTTCACGAGGATTCTGGCCCCGAGGGGGGGGGGGGGAGTTTGGTGCCTCAGCTCGTCTTTGAAGCAAAAATCATTGATTTTACTAGGGTTTTGGGCCCATTTTGGGCTTCTGAAGGGGCAGCGCTCATCGTCCTTCATAGCAAAATCATTGATTTTACGAAGGTTTTGGGATCATTTTGTCCTTCTCAGGGGGCAGCGCTCACTTGCGCTTCTGAGGAGGTCGCAAGAGGCCCCAAGATGGCCCCAAGATGGCCCCAAGAGGCCCCCAAGAGGCCCCCAAGAGGCCCCCAAGAGGCCCCCAAGAGGCCCCCAAGAGGCCCCCAAGAGGCCCCCAAGTGGCCCCCAAGAGGCCCCAAGAGGCCCCAAGAGGCCCCCAAGAGGCCCCCAAGAGGCCCCCAAGAGGCCCCAAGAGGCTCCAAGAGGCCCCGAAGAGGCCCCACGAGGAGCCCGAACGACTCACACCAGGACGAGGGGCCCGAACGACTCACACCACGAAGAGCCCGAACGACTCACACCACAAGGAGGGGCCCGAACGACTCACACCAGGACGAGGTGCCCGAACGACTCACAACACGAGGAGCCCGAACGACTCACACCACGACGCGGGCCCCGAACGACTCACTCCACGAGGAGCCGGAACGAGTCACACCAGGAGGAGGGGCCCGAGCGACTCACACCAGGACGAGGGGTCCGAACAACTCACACCACGAGAAGCCCGAACGACTCACACCAGGACGAGGAGCCCGAACGACTCACACCACGAAGAGCCCGAACGACTCACACCAGGAAGAAGGGCCCGAACGACTCACACCAGGACGAGAAACCCCAAACGACTCAAATCACGAGGAGCGCTATCTCTCCCTCCTCCTCCGCCTCGTCCTTCTCCCGCTCCCCTCACAAGGAGGATGTACAAGGAGGCGGGAGGAAGGAGGAACAGGGGAGATATGCGGGGCCAAGCGGACACACGCCTGAAAAACACGACTGTCGGCATGCTTCGCAAGAGTTGCTGCTGTGAGATGGGCTGGTGGGGATACGCGAAGCGTAAAGAATTTTTGCAGCCTTCACTGGGATCGATTTCTCGTCGCAGGTAGCGGCCTGATGTCTGCGAACGTCCAAAAACAGCTCTAGGTGCCCAAACGGTTTGGGATTAGCCACTTGGTGATTCTCGACACGCCTGGGAATCTGGGCCGCCCCTTCCAGCCCCGCAGAGAAAAGATTATCCCGGCAAAGCAACCTAACATCGATGTGTAGGAGCATATCTGGAAGCATTCCCCTTAAGATTCGGATGAGAATCCAGTTGTAGAATTCTGCTGTTCTCGCAGTCGTAGTCGCATTCGCGATGACAGTCGCAGTGGCAACGGCAGTCACAGACACAGCCTCAGCCTCAGCCTGCCTCAGCCTCAGCCTCAGCCTGCCTCAGCCTCAGCCTGCCTCAGCCTCAGCCTCAGCCTGCTTCAGTCTCAGCCTCAGTCTGCCTTCAGCCTCGGCCTCAGCCTCAGCCTGCATCAGCCTCAGCCTGCATCAGCCTCAGCCTCAGCCTCAGCCTGCCTCAGCATCAGCCTGCCTCAGCCTCAGCCTCAGCCTGCCTCAGCCTCAGCCTCAGCCTGCTTCAGCCTCAGCCTGAATCTGCCTTCAGCCTCGGCCTCAGCCTCAGCCTGCCTCAGACTCAGCCTGCATCAGCCTCAGCCTCAGCCTCAGCCTGCATCAGCATCAGCCTGCCTCAGCCTCAGCCTCAGCCTCAGCCTGCCTCAGCCTCAGCCTCAGCCTGTTTCAGCCTCAGCCTCAGTCTGCCTGCAGCCTCGGCCTCAGCCTCAGCCTGCCTCAGCCTCAGCCTGCCTC